TAAATATTATTCTTGTATTTGCTTGAAATCGACTCTAATAAACTGTTTCGAGTTAACAAAAGACAATAACACTAAGAAGCTCGTTTCCTTTATGTTTCAAACGTATAATAATATTTTATATAACGTGTAAGTTCGTAATCGACTACTTTCGTGATTTTATTTTTTGATTTCATAATATCCTGTAGAATATAATAAGGTGGAGTGGTGTAAGTGCATAAACGGGCTCTTATTAATACATTTATTTTGATTAATACATTTGTTAAAAAATATCATTTTTTAACATTTAACATTGTACCATTACTATTAATATATTTTAGATCTTTTTATATTAGGATTTCATTTCACTAGTTTCTTTGTATTTATTTATTTACTTTATTTATTTGCTTTACTCCAAAACGAAACAACATATTTGAATGCGGTAAAAAGTATTTTATGACAAACATATCAGTAGTTATACTCTTGCGTCGTAGCATATGATGTAAGGCTTCAAATCGGTTTTAATGGTCGGTTGTGCACATGCCCCATTTTCGGGGAAAGTGCACAGTTATTGGATTTTTTACAATTTTCATAAAAGATTAACATATACAAGTGAAATTCGCGTTTTTGTCAATGTTAATTAAAACGTATTAATTCAAATATTCGTTGATTTCAATAAATGTTAAAGTATTATAAAACAAATTAAAGATATATGGGTTGAAAGTCAAACTTACTAAAAACTGGGGTGCACTTACCCCACTCCACCTTATACCGTTTAACGTAATATAAGGAAATGGGTTTTGACGAGCAAAGAGGCCCAAAGTTAATAAAAAAAAAGCAGTACAAACAGAAGCTGGGGACTGCTTTTAGATATCAGAGCGAGATGATTGGCATAGATAAAAAGGTTAACTGTAGTTGAAAAATCAGAGTAGTTGTCAATAGTTATGAGAAAAAAATTAGTGTTATGATCGAACGTTATTATTTGTAATTGTCGTTGTTTGGTAGAAGTTTTTGTCGTTAGTTTTATTTATAATTGCGCATAGTTTTTTAGACATTGTAAATAACTAGCTATAGTATATTATATTTTATAAGCATATCTCAATCATGTCTCTACAATATATTATAATACATCATTAAATTACTCCGTTTCGTGTATTCATTTTCAACTTTTTAAAGTGTTATTTTGTTTTATATTAACCCTCATAAATTGCAAAAGAAATCCTTTCACTGTATGCGTTGCGTTACTTAGCGTGTGTGAACGTTTCAGCAAATTGCACGCTAGAAACGTAAATGCGTAAAACAATGTGCGGACCTCCTTCCACTACTACCAAGGCTCCATCGGATGACGTGGAGAAACAAATGCAAGACAATTTACCATAAAGCTCTGCGTAAGAAACACGTGTATGCGACGAAGTCAATCCTGTTAAAAATTCTATTTCTTATCGTTTTCCTTGTTGTTCTGTTGTTTGTTCTACTTGTTGTCATATTGCTGATTTCCATTTTGTTATTTACTGATACAATCAATATCCAATTATCACACTACAGAAATTCGTCGCATTCACATATGCTGATGATGATGAGAATATTCACAATTGTGAACAGTCTATATGATAAAATTAGAATAAATATTATTTCTTTCTTCGGTAAGTCAGGACAGTGCCATTGGATGGTGACATTGTAAAGTGATATGTTGTGAGGATGCGTGAATCACCGACTCCGCGTCGAGCGGGTCCCGTTAGACCGTAGGGGAGTGGGCCTGCTTGTACCCTGGGGGAATGAGTCCGCGCACTGTGCGTGCGTGCGGACGCACGCAAGGGATGATATTCAAGCGGCGCTCGATTACTTGGGTTTGATGATAATCCTTCCCTTACCGAAATAATTGTTATTGCCAGGAGACACAACCTCGTCAGCTGGAAATCCTGTGTTAAGATCAGCATACTAGTTGGATAAAAAAGTCCCGTATGACACAAAGACGGCTTGGAATGTAGGAAATTTCCAGCTCAAGCTGTAGTCCGCCGCATTAAAAATTGAAAATCTCAATGATTAGTTCGTTTCACTGAGTTGTGAAGCATTCAGAGCGCCGAGATGCCTTTCTGGAAGCCGCGCCGCAAAACACTAATATACCCGAAATCAATTTCCATACATAGGTTATGTCTGTGAGGGTTTCGAGCTAGAGCAATCATCACTGAGTTGTACAGTTTGGCGATGAGCTCGAGCAACAGTCAATGCATTGGTAGAATATTGGTCTGGGGTCAAAAATGACTCGGGCATGGTCTGTCGTGTTTTGGTACTTCAAGTATTAACCCTTAACGGGGCAACGTCGCCATATAAGTGGCATGGCACTTTCACTTACTGGGTCCAATGCCGCGTATATGGCGGCAAAAATCCATTTGGTATTTTTATCACGGTTATTATTGAAATATTCATAATGAACACGTTAAGTATTGTGCTACGTCACTTCTGTGAATTTGTTTTCGCTTGTTATTTTTGTCGTGATATTTTTTGGCAGTGGGTACACTTGAAATACTTCTGGCCCGTTAGGGTTTATTCGTGTATTACTTCAATTTCTTCTGTATAAATCGAGTGCGATGAATGGAAAAATACTTTCGTTACTAACTGCATGAAAATATTTCCGACCCCAAAGGTTTGTCCAAGACATATTACGTATTAGTATTCACGACAGGTGGAAATGACCATTCTGATGAACGGTATGCGTGCCCAATCAATGTTCAAATCCAATTACCTTAAAGGCGAAATATTACCACATGAAAAAAATATTGTTCCATATTTTCTACTTAATTTTTCACATAGAATATTGCTACTATATTAACTCTCCCAGTTGTACTGCAATTTTTGTGTTGTAAGTGAGATTTTGAGGAAGTACGTACAAAGTAAATCAAGAAACGTTTATCCGATAAAATCACACGTGTGTAAAGTAAATTGATGCGATTTTTGATAATTACTTTTGACAATCAAAATATGTTATTATAATTGTAATACAGCTGCACATATACATAAATGACAAAAATATAAACGAAGAAGTTTTATTTACCCTTTTCGCTACTATCAGCAGCTAGAGTCGCTCGATACGAAAAATGATCAAAGAAGATGCAATCAAGTAATGCAACGTTAGTATCATAATGATTTTTTAATATTCACGGACATTTATGTCAATGACTTATTATGTTTGAAACTAATGTACAAAAAAAATGGAATAAATCTTGTTTTAAATAGAAAAGTTTCCTACTAAAAAAATATATTATGAGAACAAATCTTTGAGGCGTAATAAACAATCCTGGAATGTCAAAAATCGCTTACGCGTGAACTTTAGATTGGGGAATGTAGGGTAAAATGGGACGTTTTCTTTTTTAATCGTAATAATAAATCACATAGAGCAATAAACGTCTGAAACCTTTTTTGAAAGTTGTAAATAGACATCTGGCTATAAGGAAATAAAAAACTTGTTTAATAAAAATATTTAGTTACAAAGAAAAATACGATTTTCTACGGGTATTGAAATAAAATCATATAAAAATACAAAATCTTTATTTCTACTAAATTAAAATTGCTAGCTGAATATATTTAGTTGTTGGCTGATATAAATAAACCATAAATACATATGATTTTATAAGCATAAATCACAAATATATGTGCCATCTTCTTTTTCTGCACTGGTTCAATCTAATTGGTCAGTATTGATCTCATCTGCGATTCTAATTTGCTATACGTCAATACGATTACAGGTGACTAATTAAAACTATAAACAAAGCATATACTCCAATTGCTCCTGTGATAAAGTGTTCCGTTTTGCTGCGAGCATCACACTTTAGAAAATCATTTTTTTACAGTTTGTTCTGGGACAAAGAAATAACTTAAGTATCAAAAATACAGCTTAACGGCCGTTGAATCTAGTACTGTGATTATCTGGTTCAATTTTTTAATCGAAAGGTAAAAATAGTGTTTTAAACATCTGTAACGTCACAAATTGTTCACTAAATATCTTCGCAATACTTTTAATCAAAGAATAACTCATGAACTGTTCTGCAGTCGATTTCAAACTACATCGAGGACTTATTAGAACCATGTTATGCGGAACCATTACTGTCCCGTTTTACCTGGCCAGTCCGTTTTACCCTGCTTTCCTCTTAACTTAAGGAAAGCTTTCCTTCTACTTAAGGAAAAACGGTTAGTTCAGAGGGAGGGGTCAGACGGTCCGACTTACGATAGATAGAAAAAGATTAAATGTCATTGGATAAAAACGATTAAATGACGAATGTTAATGTTAAATTATTGTAGGCAATTGACAAAACGTCCTTTTTCAGCAAGATGCGGAAACACCCGATCTATATCGCATCCGCGTACAATTCCGTTGTCGAGCATCCAAAACGATCTTTTGCAAGCCTCCAGATGCTTAATTGCAAGCAGGACCCAGGCTCTTGAACCATGACCACCTGATTCTGTACCGAAAAATAGAAAAAGCCAGGCAACACGTTGCACGGAGTAGCGCAGATTAGTTAGTTGCGCTGACAAGCTGTAGCATGCGGATGTCTGCGATTTTTACCAGTTCAATAGCTTCGAATCTTTTTTTTTCCGATTTTTCTTTTTCTGTTTTTCTGCTGATTTTCTCTGGTTCCCTACTCGCGGTTTCGACATCATCCCCAGTTCCCTTTTTAATTCAACAGGTAACGTCAGCGTATGTAAAAGTACGGTCGTTCATAGTAAACTATTAAAAAATTAACTTGAGCCATCTCATTCTGATCGAGCTACGTGTAGATATGTACTTATATATACATGGTGTCCAGATAATGTCACTGTACCTACCTCCCTCTGTATCAACTTGCATATGCTCTCCCTATATTATTGCATGTGCACCCATACTTTGCTTTCATTCATTTCCGTAGTTAACACTGCACACTAAATGTAATAGTACATGTACCCACTACTGAAATGCCTTATTATTGATGAAAGGAGGATGATTAGAATTTTAAGTAAATAAATTTAAGTAAATCCGAACAACTACTCACTTCGGTAACATCCATAACCTTGATGGCTGCCAACTGACCAGTTTTGGTGTGTCGGCCCTGAAAAATAGTCAATTGTATTATCATTTGTAATTCAAAATATTACATATTCAGTGTTAAATTATTGATAAACGTATTTTTCCGTCTTCTGACGATATAAGGTAGTTCAGATTCACTTATTTTATTAAAACAATTCGAAACCAGAAAATCCGATAATACGATATCGTAGTGGAAACTATAACCAATTCTCGTCCTATACGTAACAGTAACGTGGTGCCACACATTTGTTTGTTAGCTTTGCATGCAACAACGTGGTGCCACCGACGCATAGTAATCCGTTTCGGCAATCTAGCCAGACAAAAGACCCAATTAATATATAACTCATCGAAAAGAAAGAAAAGCGACTTTTCCTTATGAAACTATGTATAATGTATAATAACAACAACAACAAAAACAACAACAATAATAATAATAATAATGAAATTGTTAATAATTATTTGAACCGTTTAATTATTTTAATTTAATGAAAAAATGTAAATAAAAAATTGTAATAATTAAGAGAGAAACAACAAAAATTATATTTTTTATACATTTCTGATTATGCAATGTTAGCTCACATTAAAATTTGTTTAGTTATGTTTTGGTTGAACTTCACTTCGAGACACGACTTTTTTAAAACCTTTATTAAATATACTGGTAGTACTTGATGAAAAAAGGCTAAATATTACGTTTCAAGTTCAAGAATTCATCCGTATAGAAGTTATGTATATATAAAATTAATCAATAAATATGTACTTGTGATGATATAGGCCACACCGATTTTAATGATTTTAAAATATATTGTTAAAGTCGTTATTTTGGGCAACTCTTTCCTCTGAGAAAACCGATGCTTTCTTTTAGTTTTCCGACAATTGTTCGGTTGATTCGAAACTTGAACAAGTTTTTTGATAGACTTGTGGTTCTAATCGATATCTCAACCTTTAAAGAATCTTAATTTTGTATCACTTTTTATTATGCTAAAATCAAGAGGAAGAAGCCTAAAAATCGTAATTTGAATTTTAAACTGTCGTCATATTATTAAACAATGAGATATTGTAATCCTTTTGGTAGAGGTTATAACCACATGCATACTGAAAACAATCACACCTCGTTTTTTTCATTTGCGCTCACTATAACGACCGGAATCATGTCAATAATCAAGACATGATCTTTGAAAATGTGACTCCTAAACCTTTTCATATTTTGACTTAAAAAAAATGAATAATATAATTCAAATGCTAGGAAATTTATGTGTAACAAATCAACAAAAAGTAGCATCCAGATTTTTCACAAAAAATTCCCGGAGCAAACCTAAAAACAGACAAATTTGCCACTGAATGCGAAGAATTATTGTGTTTCGTTGTGTATACTATTTTCTGAGACACGAGTGAAATAGTTTAAATTTCTTAGCCCATTAAACGCTGAATTTAGTTTGAAAAATCTCTTATTATGCACGCTATAAAATCAAAGTGTACATGAAGTGTATACTCGTCAAGTGCAGACCAAATGTTCTTGTAACATATTTTAACGATAAACTAAAGCGAAGCCAAGAAGAATTACATGTTTGCCTAAAAAAACTAAATAGTCCACCGTAGAAAAAGTTAGGACCATTTAGAGTTTTAAGGTGACGTGTATACTCGTCAAACGCAGTTAATTCATTAATATAGATAGGCTAGAAAGTATTCCTTCTCTCAATGCAACTTTAGAAGCTACTTTTTTCAATTCGCTGTTTATAATTTTATTTACATTTTTTTCCGTGGTTTGAAGCCATTGAAATTTGTCAGTGTCATCACAATTAGCGTATAAATGTTTCATAATTTTTGCATATTTTAATGCAGGTTTCATTGAAAGAACCGCCTATCTCTTGTTTTGGAATATTTTTAAAATTAGATGTTTCATACTAGGCACCGTTACACTAGGACTATTATACGGCATTCAAGTAAAATGTATAAAGAATCTTTCATTGGTGCATTAAACGTTGAAAGCTTAAGAAAACCCCCAAACCTTGTCATTGCTGTTTCGTGGTTTCATCCATGAAAGTAGATCTCTTCTAAACAGATGTTTGAAAAGAGAAACAAGAATTTTCATATCAGACAGTTTTGAGAACTCTCGCGTAAATTGATATAATACAATATACTGCCGGTTAAAAGTTTGGAGTCAAAACATCAGTTGAAAGGAAAACTTTCATTTTTCGTAAACAGCATTTATTGAAGAATTTTTATGTTTGATAAAGGAACATGGACATATGTGTATTAGTCAAATATAAAGGTACATTATTTTTGCTATTTTATTTTATATATTTCTAAGATATATAATTTTCAATTTGTGACGTTACATATCAAATGATTCCAAACTTTTGACCGGCCGTGTATATCGAATAGTGTCCGCGTCTTCCGAACTTGAAATATTTGAAATCGAGAAAGTGATTTGACAACGTAGAACTCTGCTCATTCTAAACTCAAATTCTTTGAACTGGTACGAGATGAATCTCGGGCACTGAAATTTATTACCCTACATTCGAACTTGCATTTTTCGATCTCGGATATGTACTTTATATCCGTATTTACAGTTCGTTTCACAGACTTTACATTTGCAAAATGTGTTATTTCATACTATATATTTGTTATTACTTACTTGTATTCGACAACAATTATTATTCAAGACTTGGAAAATCATGAGACGCTTAATAAATACAATAATATGTAGGATTTACCATTAGTGATTCGTGTGGCATAAACGAGGATTCATAAGAATTTAGTACTCCATTCAACGCGTTAAATCATATGAAAAATGAAATTCAACATTTCATTCGTACGAAAGCAAAGTAACTACCCATTGTATCTCATTTCATCGTGTGTATCGAATAATAAAAACAACTTTGTTGCACGACAATATCGCTTTTTATGCCGTATGTAATTCCACAAATTTTTAATCAAATCCTATTACTGCTGTAAAACTGAAAATTAACCTACCATTGGATTCAAAAAATGAAGAATAAACGGCGATCGATGATTTATGAAATATGAAATAGAAAATATAGGGTTTTATGTAAAAAAACAAAACGCGTCTTAATAAGGACGTTTTAAGGCACTTCTTCAGAATTGTCTTCTGGATTATGCAATTTCGGAAAATTTGTGGGAAGTGTCACCTAAATGAGAACAGCTCTCTGTTCTTTTTAGTGTTAGAAAAAAAACTTCTGAGGTCACACTCTGGAGTTACATAGGTTATAATCTACTGAAACGTATGTTTACTGTTGATCGGTCACAAGTTAACTCGTGTTTGCACTTGCATTAGCTATTCCAATTTTTGAAACGTACAGCGATATAGAATATTGCAATCGCGAAATATTCCAAGTTATGTAGAAGACACGTCCAAAGTTTCATTTCAGTTCATTATGTTTAAATAAAGTATACTAAAGTTTATTTAGATTGTTTCACTTTTATATTTAATTACGGAATAATGACCGGTGACAGTTTCTACGTAAAATTGCCGGTCAACAATGTGATAATACCACGATAACTTTAGAATACATTACTATACATTTTTAGAAATTGCATGATAAGAACGGTATGGTTGTTAAAAGTCATTAAAATTCATTTTTTCAATCTCTACAAGAATATGCAATAACTAATGTAGGGTCTCAATTAAAAAATGTCATAAAACATTTTTACCGCCATCAAAGGGTAAAACCGAGTGAACATAGTAAAACTACTTCAAACCAAATTGACCGAGGTATATACCATTCGATGGAGTCTTGGAAAAAAAACATTCTGTGCAAAATATTAGCTCGCTATCCCTACTGAGAGGGTAGTTACAGGGTGAACCACAATTTACGGTTTAAGATTATAGAAGGTTATGAAAAAATCAAGAACATTCTACCCGTTGATCTATATATTTGTGAATATTTCAGAATTTTTTCCTTAAGCATCTGTTTTGAAGATATTTAAAATTTATTGATCTTTTTATCTATTTCAGCCCATAAATTTTGAATGGGAGTTACGTCTGAACTGTGCGGTGGAGTATTTAACTTACATCCGTTATATACTCCATACATAATTTCGCCCATCGGAATTAAAAATATTAAACTTAGAATCATCAGAAAATATCACGGTTTCTCAAAAACCATTATCTTCTGTTTCAAATATTTTTTGCAAAAGTCAATATCTTCTTTTCATTTTGCTTATTAATGTACGGCTTCCTTCTTGGCATTCTACCATAAAAGTCATTATTTCGTAAGACTCCCTGACATAACTGGGGATGAACTTTGTCAAACATTTCCGATATCATACTTCACAAAGCGCAGGCGCAGATATAGTAGGATTTTTTTCAATTCGCAAAACAATAACTTTTTCGTCTCTTTCAGTTAATTTCCTTGATCGACTTCAGTTTTTGATTTCTTTTATGATGCATGTCTCACTATATGATTTTGCATCCTTATGCAGCCGAAGGATAGTTTCTCGCTCACACTTTTATACTTCAGACTTTCTCGGACTCATTTTGAATATTATACCGCACACTTTTATGTTGTTGTTATGGAATGATAACTTGACATCAACTGAACGTGAGAATGCTTTTATTTAATACCAATGTTTACATTTCTGGCTAAGACGTATAAAAACTATTAACACTGTACAGTGAGGCTCGCTCAAACTGCACAGAAATCTGCTCGGTTAAAATCCACAACACCAGCCGAACTCTTTTCCCACTATTCATTGTTTCAAGTTCAGAGTAACGTGGTTCTAGCAGATAGCAACAGAAAACGAATACAATGGGCAAAAACAGGATAGACGTAGTCTCTCGAGCATGGATTGCTGAAATTTTTCTGATTACAATGAGTCCAAACATGACGTAAATCGGTCTAGTTTTATCGATTTGAGGGAAATGAACCTTTAATTTCATTAATTACATTAAGTCGATAAAATTAGTCAGATTTTCATCGTTTTTGGATTTATTTTAATCAGAATAATCTCAGAAATTCATTGGCATTATATTTGAGAAAATAAGGTTAAAAAATGACTGGA